GAAATTTCTATACATACTTTCATGTCCTTCTCAGATCCACAGTCACGATCAAATCATCTCTGAAAACTTTCCTACTTTTGGATCACACCCATCTCATACTTGTACCATATATATATTAAAAAAAAGAAAAAGGAAATCACAAAACTAGTTAAAAAATCAAGGCTGAAATACTCTATTTCCACACCTGCACTTCCAAGAAAGAAGATAGTAATTGTTAGCGTCTATGTCGTCATGTAACTGGAAGCTTTCCTTGTGATGAGGAGGAACAACAAGAACGGCCATGCAAGGTCTGCAACTCAAGCACCTGTTGATGCAAGCTGGAGGTCTTGATCCAATAACTGGTTTTCTCTCTCTAAATTCATCTCCTGAGTAAGAAGAGAGAGACCCATCTGCCAAATCACAACAACGAACAAGGCTCAATAATTCAAATCATCTCTTCTATTATTACCACCCCATACCCATCTTTCTCTCTCTCTAGACACACATACATTTCACTCTCTACATGCACCTCTCCCTCTCTCTCTAGATACACATCTCACTTTCTCTACATACACATCTCACTTTCTCTACATACAACCCTCTATAGAGACACATACATCTCTCTCTCTCTCTCTACATACATCTCTCTTTCTCTCTCTATCTGTGCACGCACACATACGTCACTCTCTCTCTACAGATACCTCTCTAACTCTCTCTCTCTCTACACAGACAGAAACGGGTCACTGAAAAGTGCTGAACATTAATAGAAACCAATGAAACTCAAATGATTTATGGTCCAGCAGGAATTATTGAGGGCTGATACCTTAGAGAGAGAGAGAGAGAGAGAGAGTTACCTGGTTTTGTAGGGGCCAAAAAGTAGGAAAAGATGAGAACAAGCACTGTAAATCTCATCAACCCAAATGGGCACAAGTTTCTTGATGAAGGCATTGTGATGTTTACAAGTTAGATTGAGTGAAGATTGATGAAAATTCAAGTACAAAAGAGAGATCTGTGAAATTGTCTTGTGGAAGAAGGTTTGATTGGAGCGAGAAACTTGAGAGAGAAACAGACGAAACAAAGTTAGAGAGAGAGAGAGAGATGTGATGTGAGAGAAAGAGACAGTGAAGTGGGTTGTAGCCTGCTCATGGGACATCATCCTGCACCTGCTTTAATAACAGGTTGAAATTCCTATTATGGAAATTTCCCATTTGATTGTCCCTAAACTTTGTTTATAATATCCAAAATATTCTCATATAGATGATGACCATATTGCCCTAGTTCGGTAAGGGATTGTACTGCCCTAGACCATTTACTATTGTTATTAGGAATTCGTGTGACTTTGGATGCACCATAAAGTTCGATTTTTTTTTTTTTTTTTTTTAATTTTGAGTCTATTTAATGACATATTTATAATCATTCGATTTAAAAAATGATATATAAAAGTAATTGTGACCTCCTCGTTCTAAAATTAAAAAGTGTGGTTTGTATAAAGCTACAACCTTAAACAATCAAATTAAAACACCTCAAATTTTTATCATGACATGTAATTTTAATGTAAAAAATTAGTAAGATAACGTGAAAATCTATTTTTATCTCTAATTATAAAATTTTGAATTTCAGAAATTGTTCAAATCAAGTAGATCTATAAACATGAAACTCTTGAAAACTTATAATTTAAATAATGTATTGCAAGATACACTACTTTTGAGACTCAAAATCTTCTCCTTTTTTTTATATATATATTCATATATCTCGATGTCTAGATGATCAATTAAAAGTTTTTTTTTAAAAAAATCTATTGGAAAGAGTTGTTCATCTAGACATCAATTAATTTTATATTTTAATATTGAAACCTTATAAACTTTTTTTCAAAAATAAATGTCTTTTTGCATTACTTTTTTTTTTTTTGTTACAATTAGTCCTCTAAAATATCACAACATAATTTGACAAAAACTCATGGATACTTTGGTAATTTTGAAGTATTTGGTTTTGTTGATTAAATTATTGTCCTATTTACTCTTGGAAAAGTGCACAGGGGGGCCAAATGTGTCGTTTCTTGCACATGGGGTCTTAGAATTTGATATTTCTTTGTAGAAAATTAATGAAGGGTCAAAACAAAAAGGTCAGGTCTAGTTCATGGGGAATTTGAGTTCCCATAGGGAATTGACTTGTAGGGCCGCGGGTTCATCAAGCTAGGCATCAAGCATATCCACAAAGTATAGAAATGGATCATCTTAATCTCTAATAATGACTCTAATAATAGTATTTTGAAAATGCATTTTGAATTATAAAAAAATGACTCTAATAATAGTATTTTGAAAATGCAATTTGAATTATAAAAAAATGACTCTAATAATAGTACTTTGAAAATGCATTTTGAATTATCTAGTTTTATTGTCAAGGGCAAAATTAGATTTTTGAAACATCATTGCAATTTTTCGATACCAAAACCGTATTTGCTGACAAAATTTTGAGGTCCAGCTTTATCAAATATTATATACTATGTAATCATTTATTTTTAGTACTCACAATTATTTTTAGCCATTGGATGTGAAATCTAAAAGTTTGAAGTCTGTTATAATATTCGAGATATTTTATTTTGGACTTTGTGAGTAATCAGTGACATATTCTTAGCCTCCCAATTTCGCATCCATATGAATAACGAAAATTTCGTTTCTAGCAAACTCGAAGAACAAGCTTTTTTCATCCCGAGAAATTTATCAAAGTATACCTAATTGATGAACTATTTAACATTTCATTGATATTTTTTATTTAATTTTAAAATACCTATTAAATACTTATGAGTTGGAATAGTTGAAAAAAAAAATCAATCATTAAAAGGGTGCGGTTTGTATAGAGCCAAGGCTTTAAACAATCAAAGTAAAGCACACTTTCAAATAGTATCGAGAAATGTGGTTTCAATACTCGAAATCGTTGTGATAGCCTTAAAATATACTTTCATTTCAAATTATAAATTTAAAAGCTTAAAAAATAGTTCAGATTAAGTAAATCTATAAAAACTTGAAAATCTTGAAAATTGATGGTCCAAAAATACATTACAAGATGCACAATTTCCAAAACTTAAATCCGTTTTTTTCTCATGTCCATGCATCTTAATATTGAGATGATCAATTTGGGGATATTTAGGCATCAAAACAACATCTTCTAATAAAAATTTTGAGGAGCGATTTAAATTGAGTGTTTAGAGCCTCGGCTCTATATAAACTTTGTTTTTATTAAAAATAGACATATTTTGATAAATTTCTTTATTTATAGAACGAAGAGAGAGGGAGGGGATATTGGTTTTTAACCTTTTTACCATGGGTGTGAAAAGTTAAAAAAAAATTATTGGGAATTGGTTAACTCTTACCAACTCGTTCAAAGCACCAAACCACACAAGTGTTTTCGATACTTGTGTATCTCAAGCCGTTCATTTCATAATTTACTAAATATATTCATATAAAAATAGCCCATTGTCCCCTAACCTTGACACATGCATACATGCATGGTCTCAAGAGTAAATATTAGAACGCACATAGGATATGAATCTAGAGAGAGACATGGATAGAGAACTATCAAAGAGAGATTGGAGAGAGAGAAAATGGAAGTGGTAAATAATGTAAAATGGGATTGTCTACAAAGGTGATGTTGTCTAAATGAAGAACCAAACGATTGATTAGAAACGGCTCAAAATTAATATTTGACTGATTTTAGTAAATTCGATTTGTCTGTTTTGACATGTTAAATCAACCAAGAAAAATTCAACGACTCTTTTTATGTCATATATTTTTTATACTCTTGAACCATTATTCATGTTTTTATTAACACTTTTAAAATACGATTAAACAACTAATTTTGACAAGAGCAGGTTCAATAGTCGCCCGATTACAATGACATTAATTATAACCATATTTGTACTAAAAAAGTAAGGGAAAAGTCTCTATACTTCCTCTACAGCATAGAAGATTTATGCTTCACCTACCATCCAGCCGTCTAATTTTGATCAAGGGAGCCACTCACTGTTTGATCTTAGATCCGATGTTTTATTTTTACTGTTTTTTATACAAATTGTATGCATATGAAATTTGGTATGTTCCTTCTTCTCATTGGGTTCCACCTATAAAAAATATTAAAAATAATTTTTCGATAAAATATAATGACCAAAATACCTTTTGAATATTCTAAGGGTATTTGATCATTTTATTTCATTTAAAATAATTTTTTTTATATTTTTCTCTAGTACGAGTTTGATAGATGATTGGGCTTCTAAAATTTGGTGTCAAAATAGTTTATAAAAAAAAACTAAAAATAAATTAGTGTAAAGACGTGACATTGTGATTGGGGCAATCTTAACCCTCCATTCAGAATGGAGGGTTGGATAAGGAGAAGTATATAAGTTATGTTGTAGGGGAAGCATAGAAAGCTTGCCCAAAAAGTAAACCTCTTTTTATACTTTCCCATTTATATAAGGGTGCGGTTTGTATAGGGCCTACGCTCTAAACAATCAAATTAGAGCCTACCTTCAAATAGTATCGAGAAATGTGGCATCAATATTGGAAATCTTTGTGATAGCCTTAAAATATATTTTTATATTTATTTATAAATTTTAAAGCTTCAAAAATTGTGTAGATCAACATCTATGTAAACTTGAAAATTGATGGTCCAACAATGCTTCATAAAATACACTATTTCCAAAACTTATGATCCATTTTTTTCTCATGTCCATGTATCTTGAGGTCGAGATAATCAATTTGAAGATATTTGGGCATCAAAACAACCTCTTCTAGTAAAATTTTTGAGGTAGGCTCAAATTTGATTGTTTAGAGCCTGGGCTCTATATAAACTTTTCCTTTTATATAAAAGATGTGGTTTGTATAGAGCCTAGGCTCTAAACAATCAAATTAGAGCCGACCTTCAGATAGTGTCGAGAACTGTGGTTTCAATACTAGAAATCTTTGTGATAGCCTTAAAATATATTTTCATCTTTATTTATAAATTTTAATGCTTCAAAAGTAGTGTAGATAAACAAATCTATAAAAAGTTGAAAATCTTGAAAATTGATGGTCCAAAAAAACGTTATAAAATACACTATTTCCAAAACTTGAAATCCACTTTTTTCTCATGTCGATGTATCTTGATGTCGAGATTATCAATTTGATGATATTTGACTATCAAAACAACATCTTCTAGTGAAATTTTTGAGGTAGGCTCTTATTTGATTGTTTAGAGCCTCGGCTCTATATAAACTTTTCCCTTATAGATAGATCAGGTTTATACCCGTCCTAGGCTTTATGAAAACAAAATAAAGCCTCACTTAAATTTTCATCCAGAAAGCATTTTTAGCAATGAAAATCTCCATAATGGCTCTACAATCAATTTCTAATACTGACAATAAAATTTGAAACTCGAAAATTAGTACAGTTCTTGCGGATCTTTGAACACTTGTACATAATTTATTATAATATACACTTATTCAAGCGGAGTTGATCGATGTAAAACATTTGCAATATTCATTGAGTTACTTAGTTTGATAAGGCTTCCATCATAGTTTCCATACAATCATATTTTAATTTCCAAATAATAGATAAAATAAAAAAAATCAATTAATTAATTATTTTCGTGAAAATGATCCCATTCATATTAAAATAAACCCAACATCGATGAATAATAGGTGGAGGCATGGCCCTCCCGACCGGTGATGATTTTTCTCTTGCATTTTAATTATGTTATCATATGAATCCAATTATACAAAAGATTGAAGTTTTTCCAAATCATTGATTTCATTAAAGAATGTTCTTTTGGCATGCGATCATAAACTGTTTCTGTTCAACCCATGGGTGGGAACAGAAAGGCGTTTGCCAAAAATTGGCACCTATGTTTTTTTTATGGTGATAACATTTGAAGATTGTCAGGGATGGTCATTTGGTGGATTTTTGGGCAGACCCGTGGCTTTCTGAGCAATCTATGGGGGAATCTTATGGAGATCAGATAAATAGAGATCTAGGTGTTCTTGCCAAGCCAAAAGTGGCAGACTATTTGCAGGTCTCTTCTCAAGAATGGAACCTTCCCACTCCTACATCTGTCACTCTCATTCGAGCTTGGAATGAGATTGCAACCTTCACACTCCCTCTATATCCCCAAAGAGACTTCTTAGTTTGGATCTATTCTGCCAATGGTTTCTTTTTAGTTAAAGATGCATGGGATCATATTTGATGACAGGGCACTCCACAACCGACTTTCAGCGTTATATAGACTTCGCATTGCCATCCTAGAGCAAAATGGTTTTCTTGGTTAGCTCTCCATCAACGACTTCCCACTTCTTCTATATTACAACGGAGAGGAATTATCACGGCACAAGTATGTCCCTTCTGCCAATCTAACAATGATAATATTTGCTACCTATTATTTTATTGTTCTTTCTCACAAGGTATTTGGAGATCCCTTTCATGGAGGTGTGGAAAAAATTTTCATGGCTCAATCCAACCCATTGCACATCTATATTGAAGACTTGGATTTCTTACAAGTTTAAATCAGTGGGACTCCTTAACATGTGGCATTCCCTTTTTTACACCACTATTTGGATGCTTTGGGAGGAACGCAATCATCGGGTTTTCAGGGGAAGGTTTCCAAGAGAGAATAACTAGTCAGGATGATTACTCTGCATGTTACAGAGATGGTAGATGTTAAGGCTTAGACCTTTCACATATCTGAAAATGACATAGTAGATAATCTTCGTATCAAATAGGCGGCATGAAAAAACCAAACCCTCTATTTTGATTACATGGTCCTTCCCTCATCCAGGCCATTTCAAACTCAATGTTAATGGAGTTTCTCTTTAAAAACCAGGACACGAGGGGGTGGGGTCATTAGAGGAGAAGATGGATTTGCTGAATTTGTACAACCCCTTGAGATTGCATCCAATAATTATGCCAAGTTTCATGCTTTGCAAGCTGGAGTGGATCTCCCCATTGAGTTAGATGGCAGAGCCCCATGACATCTTCACATTGTTGCTACCAACTGCAGACATAGACTTACTGGACGTGTGTGACACATCACACATATCTACCGTGATGCCAATATGGTGGCCATACTCTCGCTAAAAAGGCCATGGTTTTTTTTTGATGCTACCATTTGGCACATTAGACCGCCTGATTGTATTTCCCTCTCAGCACTTCATGATGTTGTGCAAATGCCCTATTGTAGGGTTGTAAGTTTATGAGTTGTTCTATTTTTCTATTACCATTGATGAAAAACAGGTAGGGGGCCATCTCCCCCACTAACTTACCCAAAAAAACAAAAAAGAAAATGAAAGTTGTATACTACAAGATCATTTATCTTTAGCACGAGGTCACAATCACTACTACCTATCTGATGTGAAATCAGATGGCTAGGGGTTTGTCACAAAATTTGAGAAAAACCTTTTTTAATTTCAAGCACAGCTAATAGTCAGCCGCCAAACAACTAATTTCTTATACTACAGTTGAAGATTATTATGACTCTTATTTTTTTGGAGTAAGTAAGATTATTATGACTCTTATACTAACTATAAATTAGGATAATTGTTTGATGCATGCTGGACTGCATTTCCACAATATGCGATCCCAAAGAATAAAACATCTATCTTAAAGATGGATACAAATAGGTGGTCTATCTAAAAACAATTGAAACTAATCTATCTAAAAACAATTGAAACTAACGGTCCAAATGTTTTCTTAATAGAATTACTATTTTTAATTTTCAAAATTCATTTATTTTTTCATATTCATGATATCCATGTTAACGATCACATGTCCTTAAAAATTAAGTCAAAAAATCATCTCAAAAACATACTTTTAAGAGGTGACTCATTTCTACATGGCCTCATAAAAACCGTATATAAATTACAATGAGACCACTTATTTTTCATACAAGGAGGATGACAATCATTATTGACCATTAAATGTAAAATTAGGTGGTTGAAGATATGTCATTGACTGAACACAATGTCCAAAATAAAATTTCTCGAATGTTATGATACTTCAATGTAATGGATATCATATCCAATGGCTAAAAATGATTGTGACCTTCTTGTACCAAAAATAAATGATCTCATAGCATACAGTACCAAATAAATACTCAATGTATACTTTTATATGATAAAAACATGGGTCAGAGTGGCGTCTATTTTGGCAGGGATAACAAAAACATGTGTGAGAATAGCAATTCCCAGTTTTGCATGGAATTTAAGTGTTCTCTCCTCTAGTCTGAATCTAATAACACATTAGATACTGAGATCTCATGCAATCTCTTTTAGGTGAAATGTTATCCAAGATCCCTGCAGTCCATTCGAGCAAATTGATAAAAATATGTTCTCTCTCTCTCTACTCTCTCTCTCTCTCTCTCTCTACTCTCTACTCTTACTCGTTCTCGTTACGTTACGTTCGTTACGTTACGTTACGTTACGTTACGTTACGTT